TATTCAAGTTCCTAAGTCTGAGTAAGAAAAGTAATCCTTTGCAGTATTTTCTTTCCCACTCTAGATTCAAGAAGATTACAGGTATGTTGTTCCTAATGAAAACTGCAGCCCTGAGATAAGCTGTAGGACACAGAACACAGAAGAGAACTAAGCATTTACTCCTGGGATTCACAGCAGGCACTATGATGAGTAGGGAATCATCTAAGATAAGGGTAGACAGTGCTGGAGCACAGCCCTGACTGTTTAGGGCATCTGGAGTGCCGCACAGTGCTTGGATAGGGATGGATGCATGAATTCCCCCTGGAGTTGGGCTCTAGAGCTGTCTGATTCAGAGAAAAAGAGAAAAAGGTGGTGTCAGTTGTCAACAAAGTGCTGGGTGTTCCGGACTTTCATCTATAGTATAAGGACAGTCTCAACATGTTTGATCTGAAAGGATAATTAGTGACTGGAGTATTCTAGCTTCAAGTCAAGACTCTGGAAGAAAACTTGAGTGCTTTGGGGAATGCCAACTCTTGAAAATTATAATCAAGGTGAGAGTTTAAGAAAAAAAATCACATATTCTAATGTTTAATTTCAGTATTTCCCAAAGAGTATCTGCATTACAAATTAGACCAAAAATATTACAATTAAAGGAAAATATAATAAGGACTGGATTTTTATATATCTTATGCCATTTGGCTTTCCTTTTAAAATATTAAAAGTGTACCTTAACCGTGGATTTCTCATCTGGCAGAATCACTGTAGCAGAGCTTTATTATAAGGAGACTAAAATATTTTTTTCATTAGGTTGTGGGAGTACTTTTTTATGAAACCCTTGTCACTTACGTTAGAGGATGGATCTTTCTATAAGTCTAAGCTTCTCAGAATTCATGATCAAAAAATAACAAAATTATAAAATCATAGAATGAAACCTCCCCAGCTAACCTCCCTATACTTTGGCTGCCTGCATATTCACAGAAATGATTATTTAAATAAGAGGTGCAACTTCTTCAACTAAGAGGTTGAGGCAAGCAGTTCTAGGTTTCTAGGAGAGATGTAGAGTTCCTGCTCCTAAGTCTGTTTTTCTGTTTGTTTGTTTTTTGACCAGGAATGATGTAAAATAAAATGTGTCTGTAGGAGCACAGTCTGGAACATCTGCACTGGGCCCTTGGATCTATCCACACTGTCCCTTGGGCTAGCCTGAAGGGCTCGCTCATCTGCTTTATTTTAGGGTCTTTGGTCTTGCTGACCTTTTGTTGCTCCTTTTTAAAAGGAGTAGCAGATATTAATTGAGATACATCACTGTCTGGTAATCAGGGAAATGTTTGGAAATAGAAGTTTTGTCATTCTGACTCTGAGTAAAACTGAGAGCTTCCTACTCTCCATTTCAAGGAGCAATGCACAGAAGAGAGAGGGGTCATCACTACATGCTCATCTTCAGAAATAAAAGAGGCAGACTGAACCCTAAGTAAATGTAAAATGTAAACAGCTGCTTTACGTGGTCTGTATAGCTGGGTGGAGCTACCAGTACAGTATATGGTAAATGGTACAGGAACTGAACTTGCTCTCTTTTTCAGGTTTTGAAGCATCACTTTTTCTCTAGTCATCATGGACACTATTTAAGAGCATGTTTCAGATAAACTGATTGTCCTTTAAAGCAAGACACCTAGCATTTTATTAGAGTAGTACCCACATTAGGCACACTGGATTGCAGCCTTTGCTAAATGGAGCAATCCACAGGGCTGGTGAATTAGCTCTGCTTGCAGTATACTCCTGGGTTTACTGGTAATGAACTATACACATGCTGGATGTTTAACAGACCTTGCATCGTATTGAATCTGAGACATATGGCAGCCATTACTGAAAGAAAGCAGTGCATTTTTTCGCCATCAGCAGCTCTGATGCTGAAACAGAACAACAGCCTTTACAGCACTCCCAGTTGTCCATATCTCCTCCCAATGGCCCTTGTTAGTCTATCTTTTTAGCCCTTTCCATTTTTTTCAAGCTTGTGGACTGTTGGAGACTCAAGCATGCACATCACTCTGCTTAAGGAGATGTTACCATCCTCTCTTCACTTTTTGATTTTTTTTTAATACATATTCTCTTTTTACATTGTTTAACAATGTGGATTACCAGGAGACATGTGGAGCAAAAATCCTGTAACAGCTTGAGACATCTTCTTCAAACTAGAATACCCCCAACACTATCCTTTAAAAAGTTTCCAAAATTCACAGATTGGGCTTTCACAGTATTTTTACTGTATTTTTTTTTTCCCACTTCTTTTTATTGTCATGCAAATATCTTTCATACAGTTACTTTTTGGGAGGCTGTTCATGATCTAAGGAGCAGTTTGTTTCACTTTTGCCTTTTCACAAAAAAAAGTGACCTCATTAACACAAAATTCTTAGTCCCCTCTTACTGAAAATAAGGCCCTGGAAAGTGTCTCAGGTTGGATATTCAAAACAAAAAACTTCCCAAACCATTAGCCATTTTTGAAAATCTTGGCTGTGGTCTTTTATTAGTCTGTAAAACTTTATCACCATATATTGCACCCTTTAAACTGTAAGTAGTAACATCAGACGATGGCGGACTGAACAAAAAAAAAACGGATGATGGAGGATTTGTGTGCAGCCTGGAAGGTTTCATACAAAGCTGCCTGTCTGTGAAGTCTGCTTGGGCACTCAAGCAATCACTTGTTCCTGAAGGGATCTCATCTCACCCTTTCTTCCTAATTTTTGCGGACATTCCTTGTCATTTTTTTCTGCTCTGTTTTTGCATCAGAAGAAATGAGAATTCACATTATTGAGAAAGTCTTAGCAAACATTTTTGCTATTTTCTTCTCGTAGTGAAGAGCTGCTTCTTTGAATGGGATGGCAGCGTATGTGTTTGGTAACAATCAAATACCTGGTCTCCAAATCCACAAAGGGCAGACTGTGACATTCCTCTCCCTTGCCAAACAGAAGTTCATACCAACAGTCCCAATGCCTGTCACAAGGTAACCACCAAGTACCTCCCAGTGATTTCTGTGATAACATAACAAACATCTGTACATGATTAGGGGGTTAAAGGGTAAATTCAGACCCCCATGAAGCCTAAGATGAATAAATATTTATTTTTTTGTTAAATGTGCAATGTCTGGCAACTTACATTTAAGTGTGTCACAACAGATAATCTGCCACCAGGTCTTGCTATTTTAAACCCTTCAGTATAACATTCATGAAGATCTTGGCTCGTTCTTTAATGGTGAACAAACTTCGATGCCTCCATATACTCTCTACACACTGTCAAGATTTAGCACAAATGCAAACCAGTTTTACTTTGCACTGCCTGGCTTTCTCAAGAATCATTGATACACATTTCATGGTGAAGTCTCCTTAAATCATTCATAACTGAACTCACAACTATTTTAACCTTCACACAGTGGTGCTTCCGCCTCTTCTCACCTCCCTTCTGTGGACTCCAGATGAAAGCCTCCTCATCACTAATATGTGGTACCATATCTGCTTCAGGAGGTCAAAGGAAAAATTTTAAGGCTTATGTTTAAAGTGATGCTTATAATGAGAAGGTTAAAATATTACATGTATTTTTTCTGCTTGTAATTACTATCTCTGCTTAAAGCTAGAACCTTTATTTTTAGATATAGGTGTAAATTATTTTAATCTCACTTAGACTTTTGAAATATTCAGCTCAGTATGTGTGAAGGAATCAATTTCATACCTGGCTTATAAGAGAGCCTTAATAATATCTAAGAGATATTGAAGGGGCTGGAGTTCTAGCAGAGTGACACACTTAAGCACTTGGGATTTTTTAAGCACATACTTAAAACATATAAAAGTTACTGGTAGTAAGGGTCTATTTTTTTCCTAAATAAAAAACAAGGTAGTACAAACATATACTTATGAACAAAATTTTATGATGTGTTTAACATTAGCCTTGTTGAGGTCAGTGGAAGCTGCCCGTGTACTTAAGGGTTGCTTTCCTTTTTTTGATTACTTGTCTTTTTGTTTACTTCTAAGCTTCTTTTGAGACATTCCTCATTTAGGAAGCAAAGTATTAAACTTTACGAAATTAGTTTTTAGAGGTCTTATTATTAAAATTAATTATATGAAATTGAATTATAAGAAATGGAATTATAATAATTATTTAAATAAGTTTTATAACTAATATAAACTTATAAAAGGTACCAGGACATACTCTTGGTTTTCAGCATTTTAATTACCTTTTTCCTTAAAATACTTACACCATTCTTCTGGCTTTGAACGTGGCTCATTTTCCTGATATTAAGTTGTTACTTTAAGTTTGGACCAAAAAATAAAACAAAAATCCTCCAAAATACTTAATGTGAGAAATATGTGTCTATGCCTTGGATAGCAAGTAGGTTGGAAAGAGTTTACTTTAGATCAATGATAAAACAAGATAATTAATTGGTGCCTTGATAATCAAAACCAGACCTCACTGCAGGAGGCACTGGAAAGTATGATAACTTTGCAGAAGCATATGTAAATATCTCTCTGAATAAAAAACAAAAGGCATGGTGTAATCCCTAAAGAAATGAAAATACGTTATTAAAAAATTCTTAGCAAATGCTTTTGCTATCATCTTCTCCTAATCAAGAATTATCTCTTTAAATGGCATGGCAGCATCTGCATTTGATAAAAATCAAATAAAATATTTCCGTAGAAACAGATGGCACTGTTTTTAATTCTTTGTGGCCAGATTAGGTATTATGAGAATGAATTATGATGTAAGCAAGCTTTTCTTGTAAAGCATCTTTTGACAAAATGTTTGAATAAAGGTACATATTGTGTTACCCGTTTCATCTAGACTAGTTCCTCTCATCTGCTAAAACATAAAAATCAAATGCCTTCAGCTTTGTGGCTGCTTGATATTGAAGTCAGGATTTCCTGTCTTTTCCTGCCTAGGTGCTGAGGTGCCTTAGTTATTTTAGGGGTTAAAAGCTGTAGCCACTGATGCGTATATATTAGGCTGTATTCATAGAACACGGCTTGTAGCCTGATTCAAGCTATTACAGTCTAACAACAGTGACCAATAGAAAGAGAAGAAGATCCAAGAAAGCTGAGGTAAGCCCAGCTCTGAAGCAATGTCAAATTAGAAACAACAGCTAATAAGGTGTGCATGGTAATTCATCTGGGAATACTAGCTTGTATTTAGAGTTTTATATGCTATTAATTCTTAGGAGGACAGGAAGAAAACACAGTGGTTAGCAGCCAAAGGCTGCGAATTTGCAGTGATTTCTAACTGACTTCAGATAGCTCCAGGATCTTGACTAACAAGGTAAATTACTTTTATTTCTTTTCATAAATAGTATTAAGGTTATGAATATTTACAGAGTGAGAGGGTGTCATTTAATTATATAAATTAGAGATGTTATTCTTTAGAAATATTTTATTTGTCCTTTTTTTGGAATGCTTCCAGGGAGCAGTTTCTGAGCCTGGAATATCTGTAGGATAGTGCACTTGTTACTGTTAACAACAACGTTGAAAACTATTAAATGACTACATATCATATGCAGCAACTTAACTGAGCTCTTAAACTTACTGGTGCATTAACCCTTGTGCATGAGAGAATTTAATTTTTATTTAAACACTATTTTTATCAAAACTAACCTCCTAATTTTGACCAGAAATTTTAGCTATCAGTCTCTTGCCTCTGCATTGCAAAATGCTTGCTAATCTTCGTCAGAAAGCTGGCAAGATAACAGCCAGCACTGGCTGTGAAGCACTCTTTCTGTGCTGCATAAATATTTCCTATTGGAGTAAATTACCATTGATGATTTTGTTCATTGTTTACTGGGGGAAGAGGCTAAACAAAGCTAATAATTAAGTAGGTAAAATAGATACAAGTTGCATAAGTGCATACGACATAATTTGGTTAGGACTTACTTTTTGTGCAATTCAGATCAGGCATTTGTTTTGTCTGCTTTAGAGAAAGAAATTCATAACTTTGGATATGAGAGAGTGAATGAGGGAGGGGAATGGATTGCTCAAACATATTCCCTCCAAGGTTTTTAAGAATATGCCCAACAAACAGCTGTTAAAACACTCTTTGATCTTTCACTGTTCTGTGATGAGAAAAGACCCTGGAAAAACTGATCCAGATGCCATTATAATTTAAGAGAGATGAAAAACAGAAAAGAGGGTATGACTTATTTTAAAAGGAGGAACACTGAGCACAATAGTATTTGTATCATCATGGTATTGATAGCTTTATTGAAGATGGTACATTATATAAACAAGGAAAACTTAAATTTATAAGAAGCACTGATTTAATGTCAGAAATATGGTCCATATTTTCAGGTTCTTTGAAATGACACTTGTATGAACATCAGTTAAAGTGGTAGCCAATGTGAAGTCTAAGTTGAATCACGAAAATGTTCTTCAATGTATAGCACTGAATAGTTTATACCTTTTATATTATTGTTTGATTTTTCATTAACATGCCATAAGTAATACCATAGAGGACAGAATTTGTCTGTTTATTAAAGAATCTGTGTAATACTGCTTTGTTAATCTAGTTTGCTGTTAGAGAGTTCTGTTGAGAGACAGCTAATTTTTTTTTCTCACCTTCCAAGGCAAACAATGACTCTAAAAGTCTGTACAAGCCTTTTACTCTTATTCTTGGTCAATTCTGTGTGGACTCGAACTGTGAGACAAGTTTATGATGAGATGGATCCTGAACATTGGTCTCGCTACACTTTTGAGTGTCCACAAGAGTGCTTTTGTCCTCCTAGCTTCCCCAATGCATTATACTGTGATAACAAAGGCCTTAAAGAAATACCTGCAATCCCAGCAAGAATCTGGTACCTCTATCTTCAAAACAATCTAATTGAAAACATTTCAGAGAAGCCTTTTGTGAATGCCACTCATCTGAGATGGATAAATCTGAACAAGAATAAGATCACCAACAGTGGAATTGAGAGTGGTGTGCTGAGCAAGCTGAAAAGGTTACTTTACTTATTCCTTGAAGACAATGAATTGGAAGAGGTGCCTGCCCCATTACCAGTGGGTCTGGAACAGCTAAGACTGGCTAGAAACAAAATCTCCAGAATCCCAGAAGGAGTCTTCAGCAACTTGGAAAACCTTACTATGTTAGATCTGCACCAGAACAGTTTGTTGGACAGCGCTCTTCAAAGTGACACCTTCCAAGGACTCAACAATCTCATGCAACTCAATATAGCAAAAAATTCCCTGAAGAAAATGCCTTTGAGCATTCCAGCTAACACACTGCAGCTGTTTTTGGACAACAACTCAATTGAAGTGATACCAGAAAACTACTTCAGTGCAATACCCAAAGTGACTTTCCTTAGGCTGAACTACAATAAATTATCTGATGATGGTATTCCCCCAAATGGGTTTAATGTTTCATCTATTCTAGACCTACAGCTGTCTCACAACCAGCTCACTAAAATTCCACCGATCAATGCTCATCTCGAGCACCTTCACCTTGACCACAACAGAATCAAAAGTAAGTGTGTGTTGCCAGTGTGGGATCCCAACAAGTTCTAATTATTTTTAAGTGCCTACCTAACTGCAAAAAATGCTCTTCAAAATAAATATATTCAAAATGTGCTGTAGATTACAGGGAGATGAGCAAGAGGACCTCCCACAGGCCAGTTTTCAAGCCAGGTCTAAAATATTACAACCAAATATGTGCATGGAAGTAATACCACATGTGAAAATGTTCACATGCATACAGAAAAAACACTTTGCAAGCAGATCAGAAATATGAGTGAATTAAGGAGAATTTGTACATTCACATTTTGCTATATACATGCCAGTAACCATTTTATGGGAACAAATTAAGTTTCCCACAGAAAGACAAGGAGTGCATAAGCAAGAAATAACAATTAAAAAGTGGGTGAAGCAAGTTAAGATATTCAATCCACATTTGTATGACTCCTAGATTTCTAAAGTTCCTGGGCAGTTTAAGGACTTCACTAAACTAACAGAATTGCTGTATGTTCAGTTCTTCTCAGTATCTCTCTGTTCACCTAAATTATGTAGTAGGAGCTTAATATATAACCCTTGAAACAGAACAAAATATTGTCTGTAGTCAACACAATCTATTTTGAATATAACTAATTAGAATGTGGATATTGAATATTTCAGGCTTGAATATCCTCCCTGTCTTTTGTATACCATGCACAAAGTGCTGACACTTGCATTTAGTCTTCCTGAAAAATAATTTTCACTGACTTTACACAAGCTTTGTCCTACTAAGGTTTATCTCCTCAAATGTCTTCTAAGATTTTCCACTTTCTATAAATGAGACCATGTTTTGTACTCAAGGCAATAGAAGCTTGTTGTCATATCATATTTCTGCTTCTAGCACTGCTCCCACATTCATCCAGGCACAGCCAGGATGCGGTGGTTAGGGTCACTGGGTAAAGAATCTGCCCAGTAAGTCCTGCAGACCTTAAATGAAACCTTTGTTTCATTCCAAATGCAAAAAACAAAGTGATGACTTTTTCTCTACCACTGTGCAGGAGGTAACTAAGTCCCTACATTTATCTTCGTGTTGTGGTGATTTAATTGAATAAACGGTTCCTTACTTCTGTGTTGTGTCACTGTAGTTCACAAATATACTAAAAATAATGTTTTGGCTTCTGTATGAAACAAGGACATAACAAAAAAAGATACCTAATAATAATTTAAGTTGATTGACTGCTTTTTGCAAAACAAATGTGTGGAACCTTGTAAAGAAAAATTGATTTCATTTGACTGGCACACATTTAAGTGGCCTGTGAGAAGTTTAACAGTTAATTAGAGTTAGGGTTTATGACATATGTTGTTACTGAACATATTTCATTGCCCCCTGGTTACAAATGGATTTTTTTTTTTAATTACTTCACTGCAGGGCCTCAGGTGCAGGATTTATCTCCTGTCACTTTAAGTGGACACTAAACTGAAATAAATGGAATGTAACCTGTCCAGTTTAAGAAGTGTTTCGTGTCTATGTAGAAAAGATTTAAAGAACTGCCAAATTATCTTCCTTTCCTAAATAATTTTTAAAAAGTTGAAACTTATGAAAATCAACTTGTGTAGTATCTGCAAACTCAAGTCCCATTTTCCAATGACACATGGGTACCATGAGCCTGAATCACAATAATTTTCCATAAGTCCTTTCCTTAATGCCTTTACCACTTTTCAAAAGTCATTACTAACTTAAGCATGATAGTCCTCTTAATTTTTTTAAAAAAAGTTTATATTCTTAGAAACTTCATGTAGTCAAACAAATGTTAAAAAAGGAAACCTGACGCCTTAAATGAAATGCAGGTATTACATAAGGCACATTCTACCACATCATTGTTCAAGATGTAAGGGATAATGATGTGGTCTCCATGAGACTCTGCTCTAACAGATAGTATCTCAAAGGGCATTTAGGTTCACAAACAAGGAATGTAATTCCATCAGCCAAGAGTAATAAGATGTGGCATTAATTCTGCAGATTGTTTTTGTCCTCTTAAACCCAGGAAGTTGATGATCAGTCATGACTTTAAGGTAATCAATGTAAAGCATTTGAAAGAAAAATAACTATAAAAGCCTGAATGAAAGTTTCCTTTTTTGCGTGCAGCCCCAGCCCTTTTTGGAATATTAATTCTCAGATAACTCTGCACACGAGTCAATTGCTGCTTTATTTTCTCTTGGTGGTTCATAGTTACACTGCTGGCATTGAAAGAGTTCAGGCATAACAATTTCTATGTAAATATTATATGCCTACTTTTTATTGTATGGTATTGTGTAATACCAGTTCTTCATATAAATTCAAGGCCTTATTTCTCCAGGGACTATTTATGAAGATATAAGGTAATATCATGAAGCCCAGTGAAGTCAATGACAGCCTTATCATTGGTCTCAGTGGAACCAGGATTTTGGCTGTGGTCCCTTCCCCAAGGATCTCAATGCACAGAGGAAAAAAGTACTTGAACTTTGGAAATAAAATCAGCATAAACCCAGAATTAATTATGGCTATGATAGATGCACACCATGCCTGTTCCACAGCATTTTAAAACACACGTGTTTACATATTTGTTTATGAGATACGCATGCGAGGTTCTGGGGAGAGGCCAAATGATGGAAAAAGGAGTGTTGAGGGAAGCAAAAAGAGGAGAAGGTATGAGATGATGATAATAGCAAGTGAGCAAGGGTAAGCAGGTGGTATTACAGTACTGTCAAAGGAGTGATGAAAGGGAGTGAACAGTAAATTCCCCTGAAGCAACACCAGGAGATTGGCATGGCTCCTCTGAGCTAATTTTATTCCATGTGTAAAGAAAGGGAGAAGTTCTTGGGCTGTGTAACAATGCCACTCTGTCAAAATCCATTAGAGGATATTTAGAAAGAAATGGCTGAAGTTACAGATCTTGACTTATTGTCAGACCCCTGCACTATGGCTGGTATTGACTTCTTTGCTGGAAGAACCCAGAAAGACAGAGATTTACAGGTTGATCCATGGCTGCTGCAGTTAAATAGTATGTGAAAAGGAGAAAGGGAGTCCGACTACTGGAGTTGGATTACAGTGGGTGCAGCTAGACGTTACAAGAAGAGAACATAAATACCCTCACACTCAGAACACGTCTATCTTTGTGATCAACTTACTATCTAAATGTTTCAAAATTATGAGTTTTATGGCAAAGAAACAGGACTTTCTGTGGTTCTTCAGCCGACATACAGTATTAGTTGCTAACGAGGACGTCTTCTGCAGTTTTCCCCTACAGCAGCTCCAGAGTCTCATTTTTAAACATTACACCACTTAGTAATGCTGTTGACAACAGGTGGGATTCATCATGTTTGAATTAATCGTTCTAGATTCTTGTATCTAGTTTGGGTTTGTCATGAACACCACCTACTCAATTAATGGAAAGTGATACACAATTGCAGAGGAAAATCATCCCATCTTACGGAGCCATGAATGACTTTTTGGAAGTGTTTCAGAGTTTGTAAACAGAATCTAAATTGTTTACTTAGACTGACACCCTCGACATGGATCAGTTTATGTAGGGTGAGATGTACCCCTGTAAATTGATTCTTCTGTCCTTCCTGCTTAAGCAAAATTCAGCAATATACCTATGAACAGGATTGCAAGACAAGACAAGAGAGAGAACCTATTACTCCTCTGATAGTTTGGGTAAGATTTACTGTTCATGGGAACAGAACAATAAAAAACCAAACCACTTTATACCACACATCATCAGGAAATTACTTCTTCATAGGTGGCCTGTGGTTAGATAACTGCTGCCTCACTTTAAGGTTGGAGTAATTAATCCAGTGAAGACTAGTGCAGTGGGATAGTTTCTAGGTCAGAGAAAGAGATTTAGAACACATGTGAGGTTCTCTTGTCTCCTAAGGACAGTAGTATTCTTTGAAGTCCTATGTCACCTGAAAAGACAGATATTTTCTGCTACGTAGTGTTGATTCACTTGTAAAACTTTTAATAACTGCTTTCGTAATGAAACCTCACTCTCAAGCTTCCTGCTTCGTAGCTTCACACATAGAAATAAATTATAGCTTGTTTCTTACAAGAATATTAAATGCTCCACAAATATTAATCAAATTTTACAACATAGGCAAAGATGTTTTGATATCATGGATATGATAAAAGTTTGAGGCTTTGGCTGATTAAAAGTATTTATCTAGTTTCCAGGACAAAGATAAAAGTCTATTTTCAAGATGTTGTAAACATCTGGGGAGTTTTTCAAAATAGTGTTTTATTTTTCTTTTGGGGAAAAAATCATGGGGTATTTTCATCATAATGTTAAAGCAATTTGGGGGATTGTAATCAAAAGCTGTGTGCGTATCATCATTGCTAAATATAAGGGGAGAAAAGCTTCGGTAGAAAGGTTTTCTTTTGCTAAATCTGGGCTGCTCAAAAAAAAAAAAAATCTGCTATTCACACATTCTCCATTCAACCACTTTTTGCAGGTGGCCAGGGGCCAACAAGACCCTCAAGCAGTCAGACTAAATCACTAAATACCATAAATTGTTTAAAGGAATTTGACATCTTTGATAAACAAACACCACTTCAGTTTTTTTCTAGAATAAGGCCCTTTTGAGGCTGAAATAAGGCAGCAGCTATTTCACTATTCAACAACTGAAGACAAGCTATGAAAATATTTTAGCCAAGTGACAGTGCAAGATATAATTTAGGGGAGACAATGTAAAGAACCCAATCTATTCATCTCTTATGAAAATAGGTACTGATTTCAAATTTCATCTGAAGTGAACAAAACTATGTGTGATTTATAAATAATTTCAATGACTTGTTGGCTTTCAGATTGGGAAGAAAAATATCCCATTGCACAAGTTTTATTCTTGCAATTAAAACCAACTGTACTGAAGAATTTGAGAGAACAGGAAAATAGAGATGTTAAAAGTTGCAGACACTATACAAAAAACTCCCCTGATTCAATACTGTTATCACTTTGAGTCTTCTTTGGGGAATAGCTACCAGGTAGTTGTCTAAATTAGTTTCCTCTCTGTCTAAGATAAAATTATGCATCTAGTAGCCTTTATTCATGATTGCAGCACATTAAGTATGTAGTTCACTGATGTAGATTACGTTAAGATGCTTTTTTTGCTTGATCAAATTCTTAATTTGGCATTTTCCAACTCTGATAAGAGCTAGTGTCTCTCACACAAATATCAGTGGAAGCCTATTTTGTTTGTTTTCTGGATTAATTTTATCTTCATGAACCTTTCCCATGGAGTTTACCTAACATGTTAACCTACATTTTCAGGTGTCAATGGTACTCAAATATGCCCAGTCTCAATTGCTGTAGCAGAAGACTATGGTTTTCATGGCAACATCCCTCGCCTTCGCTACCTTCGCCTGGATGGAAATGAAATTCAGCCTCCAATTCCATTGGATGTCATGATATGTTTCCGACTACTTCAAGCTGTTGTCATATAAAGCTATTACAGTGTCACTCTTGTGCTATGAGAGTGCTAAAATACAAGTTTTGCTGGAAACAAACTTGTTCTAACTCATAAGTTGAGAAGTAACAACTTTATTTTTACTTTATTTTTTTCTTTGCTTGCATCTTTTCTACAGTTGCAAAGATTTTTCTTCTTCCAGAAGATATTTTGGATGAACATGAAACATGTGCTTAACACTTTACCTAAGAATTCCTAACGCAAATGTATTGAAAATCATCTGTGTAAGATCCCAAAAATTCCAAAGCAAATTCTTGACTACTGTTTATTGTCAAATGCTACAATGTCTATCTCGTTAACATCATTGCTACAGAAAAAAATATAGTTCCTTATTTTGTTACGTAGTAACTAACACCATTAATTTGTGTGCACTTGTCTAAATGTATACGGTAAAAAATCATGAGTTGCATGACTACTAGTTATCAGAACAGCCCCACTGTCTTTTTTAAGATAGTGTCTAATGGTGAGCAATCACTTAACATGTAAATAACTCATAAATTGCTGCCATCCTTTGAAGATTGATACTTTTAAGGCATGAAGTGTATGAGGCTCAGCATCCAAAGCAATAAACTGCATATATATTGTTGCATGGATTCACTCCATGTATGATTTCAGAACTGAAATGCACTGATTGAATTCAAATCAAGGGACAAGGGAACAGAAGTTGAAAACTTGGTCTATCAAAGTGGCAATTTTCTGCTGTTTCATTCTTTGGTATTCCATTTCTAATTTTAACACTGTTTCTTTCTGTAGCTTTGGGATAGTCATTGAATATTTGGTTCATTTTAGTTTCCATAAAGATAAAACCAAGGACAGTAATGATTACATATTTCACAAACTAGGTACTTCACAAAAATTGGAAAGCCTAGTTAATATAATGATGATAAACAGAAAATTAAGAGATACATATCCTTCCCCCCCCCCCACCCAATTATTTGCTGAACTAGCCAAATATTTGTGTATAAATTGTATCTATTTAAGCAAATACAATAAACTCAGAGCAGTATTTAGCTATCTGCAGAGTCATATACACGCACATAACACTGGATTTTAGAGAAGTCCAGGTATCTAGAATACAGCACATTCACAATTCACTAACAAGGGAGATAACAACAGGCATCTTTTTATGAAATCTGTATTTTTTCCAATTTTAGATAGATAGTGTTGGGATTTCAATAAACAACTTGAATATTAGCATCAACTATTCACTGGGACAGTATGACATTTTTATTTCTGTTAACCAGTAAAACAGACTATCAAAAATGCATATTATTGTAGTCTTATATTTGTAGATAGAAGCAATTAGATGTTTTTCAATGGCTTGCATCTATTTCTAACATTTTACGACTGGCCTCAGTAACAAGCATTTAAAGACTGTGCATGTGGTACAATTTTTCTTTGAAGATGAAACATTTTCTTAAAAGTAGATTTTTAAAAGGGTTGAGAATTGCAATTTCTAACACTCAGTCTCTTTTTATCTGAAAATCAGGTCTTACTCTGCTCCAGTGCACTTCTGGAAACAATCCAGTATAGAAACCCAGTATAAAAATAACCCATTCAAAAATCCTAACACAAAAATATTTATTTTTGTTGTTCTTTTTATGTGATTGCTGAGAAACTCCTGCCCTTCTAACAAAAGATTTTCTGTACCTCTGTGTTCACCCTATATGAAAAAATACAGATTTAAAAAGTCTCTACAATATGTATGCGTGTTTACTTATGTTCTTTACCCAGTAATGGCATAGTAATTTATTTTTCTGAAAAAAAGTATGTGACAATACTAATAATAAATTATAACAATGATTACATGCTTATATTTGAAAATTAATTTCTACTTTAAACAAAGAACAAATATATGTACTCCAATGTGAATATTCACAGGCATATATGTACATTAACATTATTTACAGTTCTAACTGATTGTATAGCAAAACATCTTAAAGTTCCCACCAAAAATTATGACACTTTTAGGCACTATATACATATCAAACCAGAAAAGACTAACCCTTCCCCACAGAGATGTCAAGCTTATCTATGAGAAGGGATGATATGTAAATTCATATAGGGACAATGGAACATCAAGCTACTTAATTTTCTTGATAGGGGCATTATGTGATGAAATCAGGGTCACATAATCTGATAAAATAACTTTTAACAGTTATTTTCCACCAGTTGGCCTGATATTAATGGATTTTTCCAATCCACTGTAGGGTGGAAAGCCTTATAAATTAGTTCTTCAAAAGTCAGCATTATCTTATGGAACAATCTTTGGACACACACAGATCAATGCTCAAGACTTGTCCCTGTCAAATCCCAGTTAATTTGAATGAAGAGAAAAATTCATGATACGTCCTTGGAGAAACTGTTATTGCGCTGTAGAGCTGCTGCTGCTACCAAGTGGTCTGTGTTCTACACCTTTGATGTAACCCGCTGATTCCACATCTGGGAACTGTTTAATAAAAAGAAAATCCTAAGTATTCTCATCTAGGCTAATTTGTCCCATCTCGACTCCCTCTCCCAGAACCAGCAGTATGAAGTAGAATAAAAAAATAGTTATGTACTTCAGCGACCTTCACAAGATAAATCAATCCTGGTTGGGGGTTGAGCAGCTTTACTGCATACGTCTCTATTTGCAGCAGTCTTAATGTTCTTAAATATTCTGGGAAAGTTGGTGAAATTTCCCCTCAGTTTACAATAGCAGGCCTAAATTGCATTATCATCTGGAACTAAACAATGTAGGCTTTCAGCCACACCTCATCCAATCCATTCGTTATGCCAGAAGACTATTTATAAATGTAAAACACAATGTCTTTTTTTCCCCATGAAGAGGGTCCCTAAAACAATACAAAGAGCATCACTGTGCTTCAAAGTCTGATGTTAATTCTTCCTAGTCCAAAATTGGTGTAGGACTCCCCACTGATATTTCCTGGTTCAGAAAAATTGCAGTCTCTTCCGCTGCAATGATGGACGAACAGACCTCTCAGCTGTCCTGTCTGAACCCATAGCTGCCTTCATAAAGCTGATATTTGTTGTAATTAATTAATCAGAGCACATTGCAAACAGTGTTGAATGGAACACCATGTACATAAACAGAGATGCTTACAAGAAGTGTGAGAAGTTAGGTACAAAGCAGGTCACCTTAAGAACACTGCAGTTGTGGTCAATCACGAACCAGACCACAAACAACTAGTGCTTTACCAGAAATGCATATTATGTATTAATGACTTTTGAAATTACAGTAGTCAACATAAATGTGGTATCACCTCAGCACAGGGTATAGACAGTTGCTCTGTAAAGAAAAGTATTAAAGAGAAGTGAGAGGCTCAAGAACTGAGAAGTACCCAAACATTTCTGACATGTCTACCAGCTCGACCAGGGGCTGCGTGCTGGATCTATAGAAAGACCGCAGCTGGCTCTGCAGGAAGAAAAGGCCTTTATAGATACTACCAGCACAGTCAAAAATTCAACCGCATGCATGAATCTCCCTGCTCCATACCCTTCTTTGGAATTTTCTGTTTCTTTCTCAATGTTCCAAACAGTTTGCTACCACTTTCTTCTTCAATATTTTTAATGAGAAACACCATCACAACAGCCATCTGCAGATGCCAGTGACCACAGCAACTTGTATGACACCTGTACAAAGGAAGAAACACAAACACTAAAAAGTAAAAATTTGGAAGACGACTACAAAGACAATTTGCATAGTCGCAGTTACTAACTCAAACACGTATCCTGTGTCATCAAAGGGATTTCATTCACCCTTGCTGTACTCAAATGTACAATATTTCAAATGTACAAGTGTTCCAATATTTGCCACAAACACTTACTGTCATTTTACCAGCCTAGAAATAATATTTGCTGATATTACATTGCAGATAGTTTTGTTTTCTGTCTGGAATCAGATTACTGTAACATCTAAACTGCCGTGTTGGTTGTTGAACAGCTAATATCCCACTTTTGTTACGTGTGGCAGATAATCTTTGGCATTGTTGAAGTCAGCAAGTAAACATCCTCCTCTTGAATGAAAGTCTCCTCCATAATTGCATTTTTTCCCCAGAATTGCTTACCCATTTAAACATAAAGGGTAGCTCTACAAGACACCACACTGTCTGTGTAATGGTACTCAGGAGTAGTACTAACCAGTTCAGGTCAAATGTATGAAGCAATATGCATCATTTGCATCCTGCTCCGCTTTAGCTAATTTACCTTCTTCGCTATTAGTAGAGGTAATATCGCATCTGGGTCCTGTGCTTGCTCTGTTTGTCCTCTTTCAAACAAATCTATACTGTAATGAATTTGAAACCTTTCCTAGTACAGTTGTTTCTGACACCTTATGCACTGTTTCCAACAGTCTGGGTATTCTTCGTACTGTTTTTGTCTTGGCTTCTGTAACATATGCATTTGACCAAACTATCTGCCTATCAGCTTGATTTAGTTTTGTTTCCTCAGTGTTCAGTGCATGCTGTGCTAATGCCTGTTCTGATTTCATCTGTTTCCTGGCAGTTCAGCTGTGTCTGGTTTTCTCTAGAGGAAGCGCCTGTCCAACTGCTGCACCCATACCACAGCAGAACAGGGTTCCCTGCTGCTCACAGCATCCACACCTCCTCCTACAAACGTGCACAGACCCAGACTGATGCTGTCATGTAGACAGGGTATATCTGGAAATCTCTTTTCCAAGGCTTCCCATCTATGGCCCCCACCCTTTTTTCTAGGAAAATTAGTGAAGAAACTTCCATTAATGTGGAAGAATCACATCTTCCACGAGCAAAAGCTGTTCCTGATTAGGGGCTGGGATAATTAAAGTTGCATATGGAATCAGCAGCTGTCAGTGAAGCTAGGCATTTTTATAAAACATTTATTCATTAAAATGCTCTATCACTGTTTTTATGAATTACTAGTTAACTCAGAAAAAAAATGTGAACAGTTTCAGCCATGTGAACGAAAAAAAATTAAAACAGTGCTCATGCTTCTTATTTAATAATCCTGTTGTTAAAACATCCATACAGCATGATATGCCCTTCTCCAGGTAATGCAACCCTGGAATTTGTCTGAAATCGTACTCCTACTACTACTAAGCCTATTTCAAGGAGGGTGATCTCCTTGTAATGCTCTGCTTTGTTTCTGGACTTGAAATAATCGCCAATCCTCTATCTTGGCAGTGAGGATAACCTTCATGGTATTATAGGATCTAGGCTCAAATCCTTGTCTGAACCAGAAGCACAATTGGAGTGCAGATTTTTTTCTCTGAGGTGGCTGTTTTGAGTACCAGGATGGAGGTTCATTATGTTTTGTGAATCCCAAGATTTGTTTATTTT